GAGCCACTGTCAAAACTGCAAAACACTGGACCTGATGGGAGCAAGCAACAGGAAAATGTGGAGGAGCTTTGGGGTGACGGTAAGTTTGAATGTCTTTTATTCAGTCATGTTTCATTTATAAGCTTGCCCTTTGCATGGCAAACTACAACAGAAAGAAGGTAGTAGCTGAGTCTTGGTGTTCAAATGACTGAGTGTTGTTTTTCATAACATGCCAAGTTGGGTAAGAATGAAGTTCTACTTCCCGCATTTGGCAGGATGTATGGTTAGGAACTCATGTACCTCTGTCTTGAGCTTATACTAAGTTATAGCAAAGCTACATTGATGGGTGTTGCTATCTTTTCAATAAATTTCTATAATGCTATGTGACATGAACGATTGATCAATATTGATGAAGTGGCATATTATGAGTTTCTAGTTTCAGGTTGTAAAAGATTTTTTGCTTTTTTGTTTCAGACAATCTGGATGAGCTGCTTGAGGACATAGGAGATGAAATGTTTGGAGACTTCTGAAGACAAAGCTGCAGAATGTGATGGTTGTATTATATACTCCTACTGTGCAGTCATGAATACTGCCTTACTAATGTCAAATGAGATGCATTGGCAGAAATAGTTACAGTACTTACATGTGACACTGATAATGAAGTACATATTGTGGAAACTTCTGACTACAGTGGTAATATGCCAATGTTTTGTACAAGTATCTCTGGAGTACTCCGTTGATTTTGGAATCACCATGTTATAGGAAAATAAAAAAGCATTTTTCAGAGGAAAAACACTTTGAAGATATTTTAATACATGTATTATCAAGTTGACGAAAAAGAAAAGATATTAAAAATGAATTGGAGAAAAAATTGAAAAACGTGTAACTTGGGACAGAAGTCAAGATGTCATTGTCACCAATAGGTGCTTCATAATATTACACGGTGCCGGTCGGTGGTGAGTTGATCCTATATAACTTATAAGGAATGGATAGGAAAGTGCATGTTCAATTTTTAGGTGACCAATAGATGTGCACATGTATATTGCTACTAACATAATATGGAAAATACACACAACGAAAAATATTCTGCTTAGCAGCTTCCTTTATTCCCATTAATAGAACCACTACAACCTGTAGTGATTCAACATATCTTTCAAATACTGTGCTAAAATTAGAGGTGGTTCAGTCTTCATTCATTCATACATACAAAATAGGCTTCAGAGAGAGATCCCTTCATAACAAACACATCACCAAAGGTTTACCTAATAGTATAAAGAAACTGCTAAAAGAAAAAGAGAATGGTATTAAGGTTTCCTCTTCGTATTTTGAAAACCTTTCAAGAATTAATTTCATTAGATGTCTATTTCACCTCCTGCATAGTACCAATTACTGGTAACCTGATACAACTATAAAACAAAAACTATTTAAACAATCATTCTGTGACTTCATGTTATTTCTCCCAACATATAGGCATCTACATGGGTTCTGCACCCATACTTGGTCCTATAAGTATAGCATGAAGCTGCCATACATTTCCAAATATACATACAAAGATGCAAACTGTATACCAGCACTGGAATGCTTCAGTTTACTGTGGCCAAATGAAAGTGTATCAACTAAAACATAGCATGCAAATAACAAAGAAAAGGGAGGAGGATACTGTCTTTGGTGACACCTAGCTGATGTACACAAATGAAAAGAAACATTGCAATTTAAAATATCAATTCACAACTGAAATGCCCAAAAGTCTGCCTCCAAGCCTGTGTAAGTCATATTGCAACATGTTCACCTGTACTGTGTTTCCTCAAAAGTAACTCCTACAACTCTTCTTTTGCCATTCCTAGAGAAACCGTAGCATGTTCCTCCAGGTATTTCACAAACCCATCTAAATCTCTATCCCCATCAAACTTCATGGGATTCTTTTTATCATTTTTCTTTACAAAGAAGATGGTTGGGAAACCCTGTACTTCAAAGGCACTGTCAGGGATGTCATTAGCTGTGGCATCCATCTTAGCAATGACCAGGTCTTTAGCGTTCTTGTATTTCTTCCCCAGTTCCTTGTAGATGGGCTCGAGTTTCTTGCAGTGGCCGCACCAAGGAGCGTAAAACTCGATCAAGACATCTTTGGATTTGTCCATGACGATTTTCTCGAAGTTCTTGCCCACCACGGTGGTGACGGCACCTTGTTTCTTGGGGACGGGTTGGGACTTGATAACTGGTTTCAGCTCACCTGAATAGAGAGTACACATTTTAGTAAAATATCAAGCAGAAGACACAAATAAAGGGTATAAATCAGTGTCAAAGTAGGAAGTCTTGGGGTCAACATATAAACTGTTAAAGTAGTAACTGCATATTTACACAAGAAACAACAAATACCAGCATCTTAGCAATCAATAAGGATTTCCTCAAGCAAAAGTAACTGCTTGAAAGTATTAATACACCCTCTGTTCTTTCAACCAGGGGTTTTCACATCCGAAATTTCCATGATCATCTGTCACCTTCAGGGCAACAATGACTGGTGGTGACCAAAACATTGGATGTGAAAACCTTTGGTTCACAGTTGAATAAAGAACCTTACAGTATAGTTATACAGTCACTTCCCAATATGATATAATTATTCACAGAAGAAAAGATACCCCAAAACCCTCACCATTTTTGAAGGCCTCGACGAACTCTCTCAGCGTATCTTCGCTGAACTCGTCCGGCTCCATGCGGTACTTCCTGTTGGTGGTGTCGTACAGCCCAACGTTAACCTCCTCTCCGCTGTCGTCTAACTCCAGCTCCCTCAGCTTGGCCTGCTGCAGGTCCTCCTTAGCGATGACAAACGTCACGTCTCGGTGGTCTTTAGCAACCTCCAGAACCTTCCTCCTCCAGATCTGAGTGGCTGGAGTGAAGAAACAGTTCTGTGTCAAACTTAAGCTTAAGAATCAACAAGTCATATCTGTTAGTCCATATATACTTCTACGAGCCAGTAATAATTTTAATGCTGCCCTAAAGAATACTCTTACTGTAGCATAACTACCAATAATCTTCTTCTGGGTAGTCCTTCGTTCAAGAATACCAACTTAGAAACTCTCCCTGCTGTCTAACCCTGTAACATAGAAAATTTGGTGCCAAACAGCTACTTTGTCAGGGAGAAGGTTAAATGTAAAAATGAGAACTTAACTCTATAGTAATTGTATTACATTAAATTTTTATAATACATGTAGTATGATTATCATTAAAACCACAAATGTAACTTGAATCTGCATTTGCTTCTAAATGAATGGCTTTCTGTACCAAGGCACTAGTCTTATTACAAAATATCATGTATCACAATACCTATTAGTATGCATGCAGCAGGTTTCAACAAATCCATGCTTACCTTCTCTGTATTCAAAGCTGAAGTCTACATCGTAGAAGACCACGACCAGTGGCCGTGCCTCTCCGTAGCGCTTGTTCTCGTTCAGCGTAGTCAGTTCTCCCACCAGTGGGCGGATGTTATCACTGTACCAGTCCTGAAGGTCCTTTATAGTGGCATCAGCCTGCAAAATGACATAGATGAGACACTGATGTTATTACATCTCTGAGACTGGTGTATCATATTATATTCAAATTTTAAGTAGTAAAAGAGCAATAAAATTTTAACAGACTTGACTAGAATTAAGATGTTATGTACTTTCAACTAATTAAGAGAACAGAAGCAACCCTTGGGCCTAGGGAAAAAACGTATTTCCTGTTGCAGTCCTGAAAAATTACGGTCAGTAGGGTGGGGAAACAGAAAACACCACTTTTTTCCTAGGCCTTATAAAAGTCACCTCTTGATCAAGTTCACAACAAAGCTGTAATTTTCCTTTGATATTTTAACAGTCAGGACAGTGTTGCTATATTCTCTACACACCTTGTCAAAGATCCTGATCTTAGGTTCATATTTAGACTGGAACTTCTCCGGCTGTATGATGGTGACTGTTCCTGGGTTCACCTTGTAGAAGCTCCGGGCTTCAGCGTCAAACGTGTGGCCAAACTCATAGGCATCTCGCAAGTCATTACCTGTTCAAAGGGAAGATTTTAGACTTGTCTTAAACCTTTACCATTCTTGCAAGGCTTACCTCCAAGACTTCAAGCACCAGCATTAACATAATGTTAGTCAAGTGCTTAGCACAAAAATCTGAAGGCCATGAACACTTGTTTTCAGGGCTCAAATCACATATCTGATAAAGGTGCACATGCAAACTTACACAAAAAGCTTGCAATGGTGCAGACAAGTAAACAAATTAGGTCCACGGCATCAAATTTACACTTGCACCAACTTGCACATCAAGGGGGAATTTGAGCCCTGTTCTTTCAATATGAACAATGTTTTACAGTGATATCTTAATTCTTATTTTGGAAAAGAGTGTTGTTACTCTACATTCCTTGTAACAGATTCATAGATGATGGTAGACTTGACATATACATGTATGTTTGAATAAAAATAATTCAACATTCTGTGAAGGGAGAAGAAGTATGACCCTATGAGCAGTTTTTGATTGCATGGAAAGAGTCTGAACGTCCATTCATACCTGAGTCCAGGTAGGTTTGAAAGAGAGGATCCTGGTCATTCTCAAAGAAGCCCACGATGACAGCGTCAGATGTGACGAAGTTCTTCAAATTCTTCAGAGACTTGTACTCATCTGAACTGGGCCCTGACTGCTCAATCATGTGTGAGACGATACCTGGAACATCAAGTTATTGATATTATTTATTAACCATTTATCTATTACTTAAACACGACCCTGTTAATCTTGCCAAACTTGTGATTTGTTAAAACAAATCATGACTTTGGAGCAATGTCTTTAATTATCTTTTAGATTGCATAAATTTAGATCAGAAGTGAAGTTAGCCCACAGCCATTCCATTACAGTAGAATCAATTTCTTTATGTATATCTATAAATACTAAAAATACAGCTATATATGTAACTGACATGAAAATGATATACAGTGATATGAAATGAACAGGGTATCATAACACTTTAGTTCCTACCTCTTTCCTCCCTTGGCCCCTTGTATTCATATGCCTTTCCCTTCCTGAAGATCTTCAGTGTAGGGTATCCTGACACGTCAAACCGTTTAGCCAGGTCACTCTCCTGTGTTGCGTCCACCTTGCCTAGCAGGATGCCGTCTCTGGACAGAACCTGGGCAGCTTTCTCATACTCAGGTGCCAGCTTCTTACAGTGGCCACACCTGTAGTAGAACACTATAGGTCAAATTTGTGTACAAAAAATCTTAGAATTATCTATCTCAAAAGATTTCATAGGCATATAAAACACAAAGTCAACAAGCATCCTACAGTCATTTTATTCAGGACAACCACCAAATGTTATCTCTGTCATCACTCTAGAAGAACAATTTATACATGTACAATGTTTTTATTCACATAAAATAATGTTATAGACTGTTACGCTGCTCATATTATATGTTACATGTATTGTAATGTCTTTTCTTGTATTGTCAGCAGGGTCAGCCCTTTGTAATAGCCACTGGCTAGCTGGGCTGCCCTGGCTGTGTGTGTTCAACAGCAAAAACAATAAATAAACAAAATAAGCAATGAGATATCAGCCTTGTCAAAGCATAAACAAATATGTCACCACTGTCATAAAAGAATACAAAGAAATCAATTGATACATGTACTTTGATGTATATTTACCGAACATAGGATGCCTGACAGAAGATAGAGTTAGGTTGAACCTCCTGTTGTACTCACCATGGTGCATAGAACTCCACCAGAGTGATGGCATTGTCGTTAACAAACTCATCAAAGTTATCCTCCGTCAGGGTGACCACAGCTTCAGGTGGAGGCTCCCAGTTAGGGTCAGACTGCTCTTTCATGTAGTTCACAATACCTGGGTACAGTATAGTACTCAATAAGTAACATCATATGACACTACTGTCACTGAAGTTTTTAAACTGCTTTTAATTCCCCTAAACAAAAAGTTGACCATGAATGAACTGTAAGTTCTTTAGGTACATAGATACTTTTTAGCTTAATTTTTTTTAAGTTATGGTTTTTTTTTATGAAACCAAGTAGTTAGGAAGTAAACAAGTAAAGGCTTCAATATAACTAAGATCCTGTTAAGATGGAAACAGGCCTAAGTCATTTTATATCCATTTTCTGTTAAATATGGTTAGAATGAATGTGGACCCAAAATTGATTCAAACAGAAAAAAATGTTTTGGAACTAATTGAGAGAAAAAAATTAGCCTGAGTGACATTCATTTTGAGACCCGGGTTAGCAAGTGCAAGTAGCCCTAATACAAAGTGGATGGCACCCAGGTTGTTTAAGAAATAAAAAAAAGAAAAAATTGTTTTAACTTGTATATTGGCACAAAAATGAGACTCACCGTCCTCTTGTCTGGGCCCATCGTAGTCGTATGGCTCTCCCTTCCTGAAGATCTTAAGTGTGGGGTAACCTTGGATAGAGAACCTGCTGCCCAGCCTTGTGTGGACTGTAGCATCTACCTTAGCCAGCGGCACAGGAGGGTCAGCTGCCTTCAGGGTCTTAGCTGCCTTCTCATACTCAGGGGCCAGGCTCTTACAGTGGCCACACCTAGGGAATAACATTAGTGATCAGCCATTGATACAAACTTGGTAGTACTTGTAGTAACATTGGCAAATCCAGAAATTTGTGAACGGGGGCGACGCACCACCTGACGTGGCTGTAAGCGCAGCACGGGGGAGAGCACAAGAGGGGGGAACCCCCCTGTTGTTGGGGGGTCTGGCCTCCCCCAGGAAATTTTAAAAATTGAAAGGCTCTCTGGTGTATTTTAGAGCCATTTCTGAGCAAATAACGAACTAATACAGATTTTTTTCAGTACATTTATGTGCCCATTGGTATCAGAATCTTCAGTTGGTTGAAGGCGGCTGCATGGCATTTTGGATCCCTCTGAAATATTCAAAACTTGAAATCTGTAATATGATAAGCATTTTGCTATTTTGAAGCTAAGATAAAAATAAGGTAGACTAATTAAATGAAGATGCATTTACCAGGGTGCATAGAATTCCACCAAGATGATGTCCTTGTCAGACACAACGTCGTCAAAGTTTTCATCTGTCAGAACCAGAACCCCGTTGTCTTCTTCTACATCCACATCATCATCATCATCATCCTCACCATCCACCTCTTCTCCATCATACTCCACAGCCTCCTGTTCTGTCTCCTCTGGTACTTCAGCATCAGTCTTCTCTTCTGTAAGGGGGAGTGCAGTAGTTATAGTAATTTACTGTTACTGTAGTATAAGATAAAAATGTGCTTCTTCTATTTCATACCATTAGGAGATTAACAGTTACACTCCATAGAATAGTAACTAATGTAATTCTTCTTTGAAAATGAACTGTAAAATCAGTGCAATCTAGTCTTGATGACTACAAAGTTGATTGTACAACAATAAAGTTTGAAAGATGAAGTTTAAAGTTTGAAAGTTTGTCAAGACATCAGTGTCAACACTACACAATGTATCAACCCAAGTTTGTCCATCATTTAAGAAAGCTGGTTTAATCACATTTAAATAAGGTACTTAAGAAATATGAAAGTTACTGCTTCTGGAATAAACTGTGTCTTGCCTCGGCCAGCATATGAGCTATATCTTTACAGGTGGCCTGGCTTAAAAGCTTTCCTTCTAAAATAAACAGCTAGTATTGACGACAACCTAAAATATTGTGGGCAACTTAGCTTTTGACTTACTAGAAGGTTGCCTAGTGGGCAACCTGAGAAAAAAAGTATTTCAAACGCTGGCTGTATTGTAAATATTGATATGCGTCGTAAATTTTCCATTAGAAGTTTTTATATTCCCAAGACATTTTCAACAATCAAATATTGATAATGGTTAGGTAAAGGAATTATTATAAGCAGATTTAAGATCAATGCCATTCAGTATCCTGAACAGGGACTCAGAGCATGTAACTCCCCTAGGGTCTTTCAAAAGTGGTTACATGGAGCGTTCTGATTGGTCCAGCTCACACATACAAGTTGTGGTTTGTTTTGTGTAAGTCAATCCGAGTATCCACATGCTCTAACTGATCACCTCAAACAACACTTTCTTCTTTTAATATATCTACATGAAAGCTTTGAAAAATGTATCAGTAATTATGTATGCTCAGTGTTATAACGTTAACGAAAAATGTAAAATTATACAGTTGTTGCCCCTCCCCCTAATTAAGTTAAAAGTCTCATATCAGTTTCACCCTTCCTTGTGAAGATTTTTTTATATTATGAACATATTTTGAAAATCATAAACTATAGTTTCCAAAAATGTACGAATACAAATCCTACTGCAAGATATTAATATTTAATTTCCAAATCATTTTCGTTCTGTCCTTGGTTCTGACTGCACTGCAAAGCATGTTACACTAGTCAACATGGTTTTCGAGCTCATTCTACTGACTGCAAGTGCGGTTTTCAATGAAATTCGTCAGAATTACTCTGAATAATATTTCCTACCTTCTGCCTCGTCGTCTGCTCTGACATGTACCCCGTTCAGGAGTAACAAGGCAAAAATCACGACGAAGACACGGGAAAACTTGAACGTTACCGCCATCTTGGAGGGTACCCTAATCCGGATCACTCATCCTAATCGCCTGTACCTCATGCGCTGACTAAAAATAGTTCCAAACAATGCATTTAATAAGCTCAAGTATATTATATTTCATGCATTACAATATGGATGTTTAGGTGATAACTTATAACTTAGAATATTTTCGCGCCAGTTGTTTGAAATTTATAGCAGAATGTGGCATTTGCGGATTGATTTTAAAGAATCAGAAAAGTTAAAAGTTCTGACCAATCACAGGTTGCCATGTTCCACACACCACTCCAGCTGATACTTCCGGGTTCCCCAGAACACGTGGCCTACATCGCGTGACAGTGAGGACGACTGGCGGTTTACCATGTTATTGCAACAAGCATGCCACTACTTCCTGCAATAATACATTTTAGCCGCTAGTCGGGGCTTTTGATCCATCATGAAATCTGTGCATTCTGTAGATTGCGTCGTGATAAGTACAGTACACTTCCATGACAGAGATATTTAAGGGATTTTTGTTCAATTTCTTGTGCTGTTATCGATAATACCAAAAGGAAAACATGGCAATATAACGCTACATGCTGTAATGAATCAAAGATTACATTGTGCGCAATTAATCAGTAAAATTGCACGTTTTTGTCAGCCTGATTTGTCTGTATTGCCCTCCCTAATGCAATAACGGGGACACCAGAAATCAAATTTGGCGTCTCCGTCAAGTTTAACTATCCGTCTGTTCCCTTTAGAGGATCCATAACTGTTGACTTCTACCTGGGGACAGCAAAGCAGGAACGATATAGTCATTGGAGTCGGAATAAACCCACTCATGTGTACTATGTATATATATATAAAGCTTGCAGTAAAGCTTATATTGAGTCTGTAATACTAGGCTAATTTAATTCTGCTCGACTGTAGGATCTAAATCAGAATAAGATCTGTACAATAATCAGTAGGTATTGCATCTCAAACGCTTAATTTATATGTGCCATATAAATGATTAACGTTCCTAGTCAGTTGATCAGCGTTTGTAGCTTGTTAACTCTTTTGTTTTACATAAAAAAGTTCATGGCCATGCAATTTTTATTTGCCACAAAAGATTATGTGATGAAATGCAAAAGTTGTCCTGTACATTTATTTAAGTCTGAGTCATGGAAATATAATGTATTCTGTCTGCGGTGCAACTTTTAACTACCACCTGTAGCTCACTGCGCTAGCGAGCTACTCGTGTTTTGAAACGCGATGAATAATTCCGCAAACAATTCCTTCGCGTTGTTTACTGCCCTTAACCACTAAGAAAGCCATGTAATCAGCATAATTTGTTTGGGCAGTTGGCCAAATATTCCAAGAATAGGCTCCGAGCTCCGATGACTTCACCCACGCGTACAGTGTGAGGTGAGCGTCACTTCCCGGGCCCACTTCCAAATATGGGCATGGAGTCAATTTCCTACATCTGTTCAAGCGCGGATTTCAAAAACACTGAACTGTTTTACTTCATTCGCTACACGTACCATCGCCTTATCATTTAATATACCTCAAAATATTATTCTTACATCCAGAAACTGGACGATATTTGAACATTTGCGAGTACTAAGGCGTTGTCATGGTAACGAGGACACCCGTCAATGTTGCCCTATGACCTATGATGTCATTTTTTGCTTATTTGCATATGCAGCTGTGAGTCAACTTGTGGGCTTTTTCCCAGGCAGACTCAGACCACAACTTACTCATCGGACTTGTAAGGCGATGGTGTGGAGTTAGACCAATTCCCTGCCATCCAGAGACAGCAACATGGAAGTCTTGAAGCCTGTGAGTACAGAATTTTCTACAGAATTCGCCTAGTTAAGCCACAGCGTGGGAAAAAAGTGTCGGCACGCTGGTTTGAATGAAGCTCGGGCTCTTCCGGTTTTTGTCCAGCTCAACTTTTGTCTTGTTCTTGACCATGGATTGTCTTTCCGCCGGAAGAAGGAAATATAATTTTTATATAGATAGATTAATAGCTTAGATTCAACAAAAAATATCCTATATTTTGAAGGTTTCTCCCGAATCTAGTGGCTTCTTCCCGCTTTCGATAGTGTGACACCCCTTTTGCAGGCTGTTTTGTTGTGGTACGCTTGGTATAATTAACGTTCTTTCTTGGCGTGCGTGAGAAACTATCCATGCCTCCAGGCAAAGTTCCTTGTGTGGTATCCCTGCCTCTTTGACCTACCGACTTCTCGTGGACTAGGTCTAGCTGTAGCCGCTCGTCGGAGTGAATTTGTCCGCCCAGGATCGCGGGCTGGCCGTTACTGAACTTCAAGTCCCACCGTTTTTCGGTCGATACGCTATGTCAACACTGCTTTGTCTCGCGCCTAGTTCAAATTTTCTCCGCACAGAGTTGTGTTTTCCTTATCAGTTTTTGTGATTAAGAACTTACGAGTGTCGGCATTGTGGTTTTGTTGCGAAATTTGTAGTAAAAATTCTTTCAGACAAAGAGAGACTAGTTGAAAACTGGACTTGCAACTTTTCACGGAGGGGGGGGGGGCAAGGGTGTCGCATTTCTTGCACAGTTTTTGAATGAGAATGCCCCCCTTTCCTCTTTTTGGGGTCAATTACATGCGACATAGTTTTCATGGTGGATTTAGAAGCATTCCAACAATGTAGCAAAAAAGAATGCTAAACAGGGCGCCTGTTGAATAGAGGTGTGAAAAAGGAAATAAAACAGACTACAGACAATCATAATGATTGTAATTGTTATGTTGACGACATCAACTTTTATTATGTTCATTGCAATCTTTTGTTTCCAGAATGATTTTACGAGTTGTGTACCCTGGGACTCTTTCTGCGAATAGCTTACATAAACTCTGATAGTCGCTGCTATCGTTACAGAGGCATAAGCTGTGTGCTAAGAAAATATTTGCATTTGTTGGTTACTTGTATACTGATGCACTATCATTATACAAGTCAGATTCTCTCATTCACAACAGGGAGCATCAAACTTGTCATGTGATTGTCTGTACTCAATACCTTATAAAATCCTAGAATATTATACTACATGTAGTATTCGAAGTCACACTTCCAGTTAGAAGTAGTTGACAGAGATAGATTTTATATCACGAAAAAAAGGTAATCACTTTTGCTGTCCTATTAGTATTAGATACATATGCCATCAAGCCATTCTGCCGAATTTCTGGGTTACAAACTTAACATGTAGTTTGAATCATTCAGAATTTCCTATACCTGTAAGGAAAAAAGGAAATTATTGGATGCATATTGTGTAAGTTTCACATTGTTGAAATGCATGCACAGTGTAAGCAAAACAACAAACTTCCTTGGAAAACACAAAACATTCCACATAATTGCTTCCCTACATTTTTGTCAGGTGAGGTACCCTCGCCATGTTGGAAAGATGTTATCAAACAACAATGAGATCATGTCATACAGGTAATCACCCCCTAGAGCCTAACCTTCCCACTAAACAGGTGAAGAGATAAATTGCTATTGGACAGGTAACTGTGTTTGGATAATATATTATTACCACATCAGGTTGTTATGTGAATCAGGTAATCGAGGTTATGTTATGGGTGACAAAGGTCAAGTCAGCAAAATGTTAGGAAGGTAAGAATGTTTTTCACCTGGTATTTACACACCTGCCCTGCACAGGTGATGTCATGCGTCTATTTTAAGGTAGCGTTAGTTTCGACGACAATTACGGTTGGTAGTTGTATGTACCCTGTGTGTACTTAGTTGTGTCATTGTCAACAAGTTTGGTCAATAACTAAACAAGGAAAATCGTAGATTTTGTACCTCCGGGTATTGTAATGTATGTTGCAGAATGTTGGGTGCATGTTGGGACTGTTCTTTAAATTAGTGAATGGTGTCTGGGTGTGTGTGTGTTCACGCGAATACCACGTGACACAACTATGCAAGAGGAAGCTACGCAACTTGACACCTGTGCGAACAAGAACAATATGATTATGAACGGGGATAAGTCCTATGAGTTGAGACTGTGCTTTTCAAAAAATCCACCTGTTCCACCTCCCCTCACACTTGGAGGCAAAGAAGTCCCGGTTGTTGAATGTGCCACGTATCTGGGCTTCAAACGTCACCGCAGCCTTGGGTGGGACAGCCAAATCTTACACATGGCAAAGAAAGGCTCAACCCGTCTTCACTTTCTCCGCATGCTCAAGAAGGGCGGGATGCCACCAGAGGACCTGGAAACTGTGTATACGACTCTGATACGACCTGTGTTAGAGTATGCAAATGTCGTGTACGTGGGCTGTAACACAAAACAGAACAACACTCTTGAGGCTGTACAGAGAAGGGCGGCGAGAATCCTACGGCAACAGTACTCAAACAACCCCCTTCTCCACCCTCCAGGTACAGACGGGAAACTGCAGCAAAAACTCTGCTCAAGCAAATGCGGCGTGTCAGCCACACTTTGCATTCTTTGATGCCCTGCGACAGACACCAGAGCACACGGCGGTCGCTGAGAAATGGAAACCACATCTCCGTTCCGAAGTTCAGAACTGAAAGACTGAGGAAACCTTTTCTGTTTCAGGCAATAAGCCTCAGCAATCAAGATTTGTAAATAGTCCGCCTCTGTTTTAATGGACCTGAGCTACAAAATTTTAAATCTATTTAATTTTAATCGTCAATGTTGTGCTTTTTAATGTGTATCTCTTTTCAAGCTATTTTAACATGTAATCACTTGTGCAATTCAGCCAAGCAATGAATATTGGCTGCCAATCAATGTGAATAAAAAAACAGTTTCAGTTTTAGTTTTTCGAAAAGTTTCGAAATGTTTGTAATTGGCTAAATGATCTGTGAAATCACTAATCCCCCCTAGCCGACTGGAGCCCAAAAATAGAAAGGACAGGGGCATCCCGTGGCGAATCTGGCTGCCCGACCCTCAGCGACCAGCGATCAACTCCAGTGCGCGGAACGGAACTTGCTCTCGAAAATGTATCAAGCCGCTACGCTTCCCCCCGCGGCTGCCATCCCCTCCCCACTTATCCCACACTAGTTCAAATCACGTAAAAAAACCCCATCAAAACATGCACAGAAGCGTGTTCATATCTTTCA